CAATGTAGCCAAGGCATGAAAGTGAAGGAACACCAAAATTGTATTTATCAGGATGCGTAGCTACACTGAACTCGGAAAATCGCTTTAGTAAAGACAACAGACGTATATCCTGGGTAGCCTAATCAGTAGCGTGCACTATGACGTTATTTTGGTACGCCTTAGCACCCTCCAAATCTTTCGCAATAGTATTCATAACTTCTCGAAATACAGCTGGTGAAATATTCAGACCAAAGGAAGAGAAATTGTATCGGTGTGTTGATCACGGTAGGATTACTAGAGGCTTCGTCTCGTAGTATTTGAAGACAGACATCTTTTAGATCGCTTTTTGAAAATATGCTTGAACCTGATAAACGATGCAGCACAACTTCCGGCTCTTCCGTAGTGCGTTTACCGCTTACCTAACGATGGTCGGTAGTCTCCACGAGTTCTTCGAATAATACATCAGCCTTTAATGGGGTATCTATAATACTAATGCTAATATTAATAATAATAACGATAATGTTCATTGTCAAGCCAATCTACAAAACTGGTGACCGACTGTCGCCTGGCAGCCACAGGCCTATAAGCCTCACTAGCGTGCCATGAAAGGTGAGTGAACGCATTCTGAAGCGAGCCATCCTAGATCACCTTACTTCCAGCAATCTGATATCTCCAGCTCAAGACGGATTTCTTCCAAACCGTTCTTGCGTGACAAACATGCTCGTGTTCATGGACAGCTTAACCCAAGAAAGGACGAAGGACTCATATCGGATGCCATATTTTTCGACTTCTCAAAAACATTTGATAAGGTCCCACACGTTCCACTGCTCCACAAGCTCGAGTCTTACGGGATTCAAGGGAAAATCCTTCGCTGGATCAGGGTGTTCCCATCAGACAGATCATTCCGAGTGAGAACAGGCTCGACCTACTCCTCTCCAGCGCCAGTATCCATTGGAGTTCCTCAACGCTCCGTCTTGGGACCACTCCTGTTTCTGATCTACGTCAACGACCTCCCAGATGTTCTTGAGAGTCCATGCCTACTTTTTGCGGACGACTTGGAATCCTGGAGTTCCAATGCCATTGCCCCCAAATGGATGTGGACGCTACCAAGCAGTGGTCGTTAGACTGGCACCTTCCTCTGAATGATGAAAAGTGCGTCCATGTGTCGTTTGGAGGGGATTCAGCGAATGCCTTTGTTATGCATGGTGAAAAGGGACCAGAAAACATCATGAGGATAGATGCCAAAAAAGATTTAGGCATCTGGGTCTCCTCAAACTTGTCCTTCGCACTACACCATGAGAAATCGACCCAAAAGGCATTCGCCGTTTTACGGATGATCCGACGTACCTTCTCCCGTATTACGGGAGACGTCAGACCGCTCCTGGAGTACGCCAACAAAGTTGTCTACTCAGGACGTACGAAAGACGTTACCCTCATTGAGCGTGTCCAGCGGGCCGCCACGAGAATAGTTGCCGGCCTCAAGTCCGTGGACTACGAAACGCGTCTCGCGACGCTTGATCTATTTCCCCTGGAGTACCGTCGCCTCCAAGGGGACCTAATTCTTACCTACGCCCTGTTTGAACAAAGCTTGACAAACAGGTTTTTTACCGTTGACCCAGCAAACACCCGGCGGGGACATAGTAAGAAAATCTTCAAGCTCAGGGCACACACATCCGTTAGACAAAACTTTTTTTCATTTCGGGTAGTAGCTGCGTGAAATGACCTTCCTCCGACGGTTGTACACGCTCCTTCTCGAACCCAATTTAAAACACTATTAGACATTTATTTATGCGAATCCTCGCGCTGGCGAGCATACTACCCCGCGCTGAGAACATAAAGAGCATGCGACCCGGGATACTTGGGCAACAGCCTCGATCCTGTGTATCAATCAGTGCATCTTAACTAGTGGGTGGCATACCGTGTGGCACGATCATATGTTTGCAGTCAGAATGAAACATGACTGAGGGATTCGTGGGGGTGCGGAGTGCACAAAATAGGACAATGTCATAACCAGTATGGAATATCCGATGAAATAGTACTAATAGGTTTCTTTCCCAACTTGCCTGGAACCATGGGTATGAGGTCCGACTAGTTCAAATACAGCCAGCTGGCATGAACTAAAGCTGAAAACAATTGCTGGCCATGAGTGACCTTGGGTGGTTAGGTAAATGGCCGGAGTCACAACAAGCAAAAGTGGGGATGGAAATGGGATAATTCAAATTGGGAGCCCATGGCGAGTTTCGTCTCAAAAATGTGTTTTAATCTGAAACTAAGCAGATTCACTGATTGCATGGTTGTAGGGAGGTCAGGTGTATGGGATAGGTTGGATGGGGGCAAGTTGCTAATACATAGGGCGACGCGAACACCGTATACGGATTTGAACACAGTGGAAAAACCAGGCTAGCCATATTTGAGCGAAAATTCATCGCGTACGGATGGGGTCGCCCCAGACCGGATGAAAAATTTGCTCGTGGTTGTGGCTACAGGCTTTAGTGGACGTGAGGTTGCGATGGAAATTCCGAATAAAATAGTTGCGGGAGTGGCATTTCACTGGGTTTTACAGTGCCATGCCATCATCGCACTCACATGCTTCGGTTTATGGACAGCATCGTAACGGTCGCCAAGGGTGCCGCGATCGGAGAAGGGATACGCGGTTCCGTGGCAGCTGGTTCTGGGTGAGACGGAGATTGAGACAGACAGTCAGTCGGATGCAGGCTCATGGATAATTTTCTTTTCCCTAGAGGACCCTGTGGGTGTAGACCGGGGACAAGCCAGTCTGAATGAATAGCAGTTCTACGGGGCGTTTGGTTAACTACGGTCGATGTTTGAAGCTTGGGAATAGGGGCAACGGGAGAGGTAGAATGAAAACAGTAGCGTATGGCGAGTGTCAGGAGGCATAATATACAATGGTGTCAGTAGAAAGCTAAATGAACCCAAAACGGATAAATACGTGTGCTGATCTAGAAACCAAGTACTGGTTGGTCCAGAGTAGATGCCTAGTTTAAGGAACGTGAAAACTTTGTCGTCCGGGTAGATAGCAGGGGGGCTAGCTGTTGGGGTAGTTGAGAACGGGCGGTATTTTCTGGCTTACCAAAGCACCATGACATATGGTTGTGCAGAAAGAGGGGTTAATGTGAGCAGTGAAAGTAGACAAGTAAAAAGCGGACAAGCAACAGCTTCCCAGATAATTGATAAGAATTGTCGTTTAACTGAGGTCTACTAAGTCAACCTAAAAGGAAAGTAAGTTCAGGGATAACCAGTCACAGAGTCACTGCTGTCAACTCCAGAAAGCGAGTGGTGCATGGCAAAAAACAGCCGTTAAGTGCTAGCTGTGATTGCTTGTAATCGGGAAATGATAAGTTATGGGCATTTTGTGCATATGATCGCTCTAGATGACGAAAGGGAAGAACGTGTGTGCTATGTTTGGATGACGAATTGGACTTGGGGTGGTGCGGCCCAACTACGGCGAAAGCGGCAACTCCTTGCACGTCGACATCGTCGTGAGCCTCACACACTACCCTCAGGCTACCCCTTGCATAAATGTTTTTTATTTTGTTTAGAACAAACGGGAGGACAGCTGTCATTCGATTGTATTTCTTGGTGTTGTGAGACAAGTGACGACCGGAACAAGACCAATCCAGCTACAGACAAACAGCGACGGTGCTATTTTTTGGTTTTCCCGAATTAAAAGCCAGGGTCAGAGCCCCGGTGATAGGCGATACACCCGTGCTACTGGAGGGGTGGCGAGCATATGAACGCACGATGGTGCAACGTAACAGGGCGACCCTCCCTGCAGGTCGTACCCGTCCACTACACGAGATTTCCATCCCTCGTGCATGCTACCAGATTGCAAGCTGGACGACCACCCAAGCAGTCGTAAATCCGGTTTGTGCATTAATAAATAACTCCAGATACCAGATATTTTACCCGGTCGTGGAGAAAGCCAGGCCGGTAAAACAGTTCAGTCATTTCGAACCAGCGAACAGCAAACAGCCACTGGAGTTGCCCAGGAGTCAGTATTCCTTTCGCGCACATTGAATTTAACGCTTGACGAACAGGTTCACGTAAGCCTAATGGAATACTTAATCTCATAGAGAATATAGGATCTACTATAGCCTGGAGTCTCACCTGGGGTATTTGCGTACCACCTATAGCCCTTGAAAATTTAAGAATCAGATGTTTGATTTCATTTTCATTCACAGAAGTCAGTAAGGTGATACCGGTTTGCAGTGAGCGCAGAACTTTGAGTCCGATAAACGATGGTACCGACGTTGAAACCGAAAACTCACAATCGATAGGGGTACCTTGGGAGAATTTCGCAGGAGTCGTGCAGCTACCAAATAGAGGTGCAGAATGTCCAGTGATACCGCAAATGCTAACATCTGTAGAGACTAGGGTAGAAGGCGGTTAGATCTGAGTGTGGGATAAGGGACTAAACTCTACCCGTGTCAGTAATGAAGGCCAGAAGCGGATATCAAAGTTTTTAAAAAACATATGACGAATTCGAGGACAAAATAGATGGAGAAAGGGTAGAAACGTCTTCAGCCAGTACTTTCGCGCCAGTATTTGGATCAGAATTAAATGACACAATTTTTGCACGAGATAAATGTGCCCCAATTTACCGCAGACAATCGCTTCGCTTGCCTGTGAAGGCATGAATATCTGGAGTGGTTTAGTCCACAATATTCACATTTTCCAAACTTCTGAACCAACGAACTAGAGTTACAATCTGTGAAGTGACGCAATAATGGATTTGGAGAACGAGAGTTTGTTCGGGGTTCGAGTTTGTTGTCCGCCTGCATCTTTGAATTATTTGTTTGAGAACAATTTAACATTTTTTCGTTCGGTTTCGTTACATGCTTCACATCTTCATACTGCTCACATATTTTCCGAATTGAAGAAAAACGGCCACGAAGAAACAGCTCGGCGTTAACTTCATATGCTAATCACTGAACTAGTTCGTAGGTATCTAAATGCTCACCTGGCGTCCGAAATAGTTTCTCTGTATTATTGATGACTGAATGTGTGTTCATCATGCGGTCACAACACGCTTTCCTTCTGAGTGGGTTTGTGTACGCCGTGTCTAATCGCAAGGCGCGATTCGCTGAGTCATTTTCTGGGCTCATTTTAGCTCCCAGGAGCTGTTCCTGCTTATGTCAAGTCACACAACGGTGTCAGAGTAAATCGGCCGGTTCCTGTGACACTTTTATTCTCACCAATGTGTGCACATGATAAATGTTCATAAAAACCTCCTCGGTAAATTAGGCCGAAACCACCCATTGGTAGCTCCCTCACACAGGCGGGAATTTTGTGTAGGCTAGCCTTTTTAGTTCCGCTTGTGGATACAATTAGGTGCTCGAACAAGGCTTCGATAGTATTCTTTGCGGAACCAAAACCTAACTAAACTTCAGGGATAATTTATCCCATGCATCATAAACAGTTTCCACGATCCACCCGGAGCTTCTCAATTACTATGCAGTCCCGAACTGAATACTTGGTGAGCAACTTTCTCCTGCCGTCGCGGTTTTTAGGGATATCTTAGGTCCAAAACTGAAGGAGGCTGGATTTACTTACTTCTGGTTCCCCCTGTGTACCCAGCTGAACTGTACCTGACATCAAGGACGACGTGGCACCGTCGACTACCACAAGGTCATCCCTATGGCGATCCACCAAGGTCACGTTACAAATGACCTTAAACTCCGATTGGGTAGCCCACTACCTCTCCAAGGTCACAAGGATCGAGGACGGCGCTTCCTTGTTTGTTGGTAAAGTTCATTCTACACCTTGTTTGCACACTGCCTGAAGGGAATGAATCGTTCGGTGTAAGTCCGACAGCAAAAGCGCTCGCCAAAGTTTTGTTTTGTGACCCTACGAGGTCTCGCCGCAACCCCACTGCCGCCAACGGTTGTGCTGGAATATTTTTCCATAACCCTATCGCCTCAACCAGACGCCCGATACCATCTAGGATGGAAGCATTCCAGAGGTGAAAGTCTTTGGGGCTAAACCGGAACGTTTAATTTTAGGAAGGCGACGCCTGGTACACCGGTCAATCTCACTGCACTTACCTCCCAGTAATTTCATCGTTTCATGTAATCGGTGCTTTAAGTGCTTGCGGGAATCTCGCGCGCCCCGGTTATTGCTTGAAAGATGGTTTATCTGATGACGACACTAGGATCCTACTGAAGGCAAGTGATTTTCTGCACTGGTTCCCATAATTCAGACGCACTCGATTTCTCGCTCTAATCCATAGGTATTTGGCAACCAAGCAAATCTGCCTGGATGCCGTTAAATGGGTTTCTGGGTATCACTCTAGGCACGATACATCAACTGAAAATGAGGCTGCTGCCGAACGATTCAGAGACCGCATACACTCAGGCACGACCCTGTGCACCTCATTTTCCATATTCATCGCTAATTGGTACCGTACAATACTATTTTTTAGAGCACGTAAATCACAACTTGTATGGAACGAAACAGGCAAACATGCACGATTCACGTGTTGGAGCGTTTAGGGCGGGATGATATGCTAGCTGTTTACGCTAGCTTCACATGTGCGTGCTTGGAATCGTGGTGGATTTTAGTACTTATGTCCAAAGTGGCAGTGTGACTTATGGCTGCTTAGTGGTGGTTAAGATCAGTTGAAGAAAATTTGCTCGAGTGCGGCTGGGCTTCCCGCATGTCGGTGTTGGCGTATCCGTAACGAGAAATTAGTAAGCGAGTTTTCGGTTGTGCAACGGGTACTTCCGTTGGAGAATGTGCCCAGCACCAGAAGCTGTGCTGGTTGAAACATGTGCTGCATATGTCTAGCCATTGTTTGCCGAAGAGAGTGCTGTTTTCCGTGTCCGATTCAGAATGGCGGAAGTAGTGTGGTGGTCAGCCCTTGACCTAGCAGAGGGTTATGAAAGGAATTGCGAAACGTCCGGGTGCTGTCTATGTTACTCCCCTTCCAGGATGGAGACAGCATCATCCTCACTACGCCTAAATGGAGACGCTGCAAGATATGGCTGCCGATCGATGTCAGTGGCTTTCTTGTTAGATTATCGAACACATGAATGCGTCTCAGTTTCGAACGGGCCAGATCTCCTAGACATGCGACAAAATAGCCCGTATTGTAGCCTAAAACACAAGTCTCGTGAGATTCAGGGATATACTGATTTAATGGAGACGAATATATGGCCGCCAACCGATGCCGGTGGCGATCGTGTCAGTTTCCATCCAGACTACATGAATGACTGTTTGGAGGTGTATGCACCTTGGAATGACTGTGGTCAGCTAGCATTAAGTCCCTTCCCCGTCCACCTTTATTCCTTTCTTCACAATAAGGCTTTCTATTAGATCATGATTGTTCGGCAGTGAAGCATTGGTGTTGAGCACCGCTGTCATACTGTCCATGATGCTGATGCTGATGATGCTATTAGCAGATTATTTGCTAAAACCATCATCCCATAATTCTGTCCACTCTCATGTTGGTGTCAGAAGTTCGGAAGTACAAGCACGTACTTTGCGAAATCCATGATGAGCAAAAGAGATAACATGGTCCTCAAATGGGTTGGGTAGCCTACTCTTGGGTCTCTTCCGTAGCCCTACGGATGTCTGACGTCAAGCAGATCGTCCGTCATTTCAAAGGATATCGGTGGTCCCCTGTTTGACGTTTGAGATTCGTCGTACCAGTTTTTGTTAACCGAGTGGTAGGTGGCAATTTTGATGGTGAGCCTCAGTACGTGGCAATTGGATGGGCCGGTGTGCGTCGTCACCGTCCCGAGTGATGATGCGTGCAGCTCCTTGGGGCCCATTGGTGAAATCGGATCCATTTCTATAACGTTCAGCACGACATCAATGGTAACGTCGATGTACTGTCTAGGAACTTATACGGGCCCGATTATTGATTAGCGGGTCCTCCATCAAACATACTGAGGGCTACTGAGTGCATATGGTTGGCTTCAGTGTCGTCTTCGTAGAGTATGGTGCTTTCACCATGAAAACACTACCCCCATTTGTTACACCCTAGATAGAGCATAACAGATGTAGCCGAAAGATTCGTAAATGCAATCTTACATCGATGGGAAGACGAGGAAGTACTCCGTAATACATCATCTCGTTTTTTTTACGAGAACGAGATTTGACGAATGGTATAATTGCACAATGCGGTGGTTTCACACAGGCTACGGAACGCAAACTGAAAGCAGCCATTCGCTTGTGACGCGTTATTAAAAGGGACAGTCCGATTCCTGCATTGTGATCACAACTGTACATCGATGCGGTAAAAGGTTTTTATATCCGACGTGATAGTATGGTAGGTGATAAGGCAGTGTTATGGAGCGCGTACGGGTACAGATGAGCTAAAGAGTGCACCATAAAGCAGTTGCTTCCATGTGAGAGTCAGAAACCTTATGAAGCTGAAGGGAAACTGCATCACTGCTCCGCTCTCCTTGAGTTCGCGTAGTAGCATTGAGGACCACGTCCTCATCACTATCACGTCCTTCAACTGGTGTTTTTATTTCACCTGGAGATAGCTTATATTTTATGACTTCATGGTGAAGTTCTGCAAGTTTACTGAGTCATCAAGTCTTAGTAATGAGGGTTGAGTGAGGGAAATTGTGCTTTGGATTGTTGGGCAATAGATTGATTCGTTTGGAAGTTATCACTTGACATTGATTTGATGGCCTCGAGATAGCTCAGTGGTTAAGGCACAGACCCGCTAACCGGAAGGTCCGTGGTTCAAACCCAACTCTGGAATCTAGACTGCTTCAATCTAGCCTTGGGAAACTTGTTATTATCTCATGCCTCATGGTTTCATTAGCTGGCATGGCAGTCAGGCACTGAAAGGGTGTCGCTGCTGAACGATTTATTATTATTATTATTATTACTTTTAGTTGGCCGATCCGTGGGGCCTCAAGGTTTTGTTTTCTCACCGCATGATTAGTTCTCACTTGAGTTGTGGTCACTTTAGATTCCAGGCAGGTTGGTTCTTTTTTCGCTCGATAGATCTGAGACGTTTCGGTTTAGTTTGTAAGCTCCATTGTGATCTGATGTAAGTGGATTTCTTGTAGCGTTCACCTTAGGGCGCAACAACCCAGCGATTGCTATCATTTTTTATCACTGAGAAATAAAACGCCGAATTTTCTTAGTTCACACCCTTTGCATTCGTTCGACCTGGGTGTCGTGTTAGTTTGACTTTCAGGGTATTTACCATCTGTCAGCGCCTGAAACCGTCTCCTTTGCAACCAGTTGGTTGGCTGTCATCTCTTCATCATTCTGTTGTAATTCTGGCA